CAAGCGGTTCTGCTCCCAGCTGTTGTCTCCGTCACCCGGCTTGATACATTCGCTCGCGGCTCACGCAGAAAATAGACCAGACGCCGAAACGATTGAGCCGGTCACGGTCCGGTGCTTCGAGGCTCTTCGCAGCGCTTCCGCGGGTGGAGTGGTCACGGGTAAGGGGGGGGGGGCAAGCGAGAGGTCCGCGGTCGTTTATAACGTAATGTTATAGATAATTGTTTTATGTGTTTTAATGTGTAGGTATGTAAATGTTTTCAAAGATGTTTATGTTGAAATAAAAATACCTACAGGTAGTTATGTTTCATATACAAGTATGTTTCCTTGTATTAGTTTGCCCTCTTGTGGACATAATGCGGAAAAAAAATATTCGAATGGCTCAAACCTATGAGTTATTTTTAGAAGGAATATTCGAACATCATTTTTGAGCAATTTTGACAGCCCTATTGGGCAGTGACTTGCAGCGTCAGAAGCCAGTGATAAAAGGCGTCCTTTAACGTTTGCGTGAAAAGCAGCTGGTCGCCGTTTCAATCTAACGGCACCCGGTGGCATCAGAGGGAAATGCATTGGGACGAGAACGAAAATTAAGGTGGTGAAAGTCCAAGTGGGGCAGGAGGCAGTGGTGGTGGATGGGTCCAACAAACATCGACTTTCATCTGGGAGAGTGGTGTTTGCGTCCTGTAAGATTATATAGCCAAATCCCATTCTTTTTCCTGAACCCAACCACGTGCATTTGTTGTTGAAGGAAACAAAAAAACATCAATTCGCAGTGTTGTACCACTCTAGTGCGTTTAGTTTGAAAGAGACTGTATGTAAATGGTAAACTTCCTGTGAAAACGGAAGTGTATTTTGAAAGAAGACAATGCAAGTAACAGGCTGAACTTGACACAGCGTCCCAGAACGTCAACAACCGACACACCCAGGGTACCTTGCACGTCGTTTCTGGACGTTGAAAGTCAATGACCATACGTTGATATGTGACAAGGATGGAGTGAGAATGTGTTGGGATGAGAGGCTTGTGTTTGTGACAGCGCAAGATGTAAACATCAATGACATCCTCCCCAGTTGAGCTGTAACATTAGCTAGCTCAGTTTGTGCTAGGAGAGCAAGCAGTAAATGCATTCTCCCGTCTGTGTGGTGATATTCTTGGTGGGTGTAGTTTGAAAGAAAATAGTTCCTACATGAAACTGCTCACAACAAAGTCTGTGGATTATCTTGAGTAACCAGGTCATGATTTCTTGAAAGAGACATTGCTGTTGAGTTTTTCAAATGTGTTTTTTCAGCACTTTGAGCACCACAAGCTGAGTGCCATCTAGTTCCATTATATTCAAGAGAAGGCAGACATCTCTATGGTCGATATCTCCAACACTCTGCAGCTCACACCAAAATAATCTAGACTGATAAACAGCACTAAAGGAACTGCTACTATCATCTTAAATATGAATACTCTCAGTGTTGATACTGTTGGTTAGACAAAATCACATTTCAGGATGTCACCTTGGTCTCTGTGAACTTGTAATGGAGAGTTTTGGCCATTTCTGACACTTTAGACCAAACAGTTAAGACAGAAATCTGCAGAAGACGCAGCCATAGATGGTTGTCTAATAGTCTCTGTGGTTTTGATGCATTGTTAGAATCAAAAGTTTAAACAGTGACATTGTGTTCCCAGCTGCATGACAACAAAAGGTGTTGTGTTCTCAAAACCCTTCATACAACTATGACAAAAATCTTCTCAAGTTGGAGAGCAAAATGGAAAGACAGCTATTCCAAAACAGTGCATCAAATCATAAGCTCACATTTTCACTCATTTAATGGTGATATACAGGAAAACTGAAAATAAAATTTGAAAACTATTTTATGCAGTATGTTTATTGCTCCACATAAGTCCTGTGATTAAATTAGACTTGCACTGCATTGCTAAAATACTGCAAAACTGTTTGTGTGGCATGTCGAAAGCTGTGTAAAAAAGAGCCTAAAGTCTGAAACCACAGTTTGCAGAAATCATAATCCATTCAGTTTCATGTGACTCACCTTTTCCACCTGTTAATGTCATGCAGAGTCCATTTTCCGTTGAATCCTTTGTATGCTTTTTTAAGATCTATAAGTGGGCCACTTGCAGCAGCAACACATTTCTTGTTCGAATCATTAGTTGCTTATTATTATATATTATATTATATTATATTATATTATATTATATTATATTATATTATATTATATTATATTATATTATATTATTATTAATATCAAAACGTAGCCGCACAAGTGTCACCTATAAGCATTGAGTCTAACTTATTGTGTCACAGAGTCTCAGTGACCCTGATAAGGATTTGTGGATTAGAGTTGGCTGAGAAGTGGAGAGGCAAACTCACTCATCCTCCCTATTTGGCCACTCAAGTGGGAGAAGAGATTTCGTTTAAGTGAAGTTTGGACAACCTTCAGTTAACCTGTTAGTGAGGACACAGAACACTGAAGACCATTTTGTGGTGACACCCTTTTTTTCCTCTTTTATCTGTGACAGGCTATCATTTTCCTGACCATTTGCGGAACAGCAGAGGATTTAGTCTGCCTGCACACACACACACACACACACACACACACACACACACACACACACACACAGGCATCTCCTGCTCAGTCAGCACTCTCAGCCATATCCAGCTCTGATCCTATTAGATCGTGCCGGGTATTACAGATTTCAGATCAGGTGCATCTGCTTCCTTTTACATGAATAAGAATCATGAGAGAGAAAATTAAATCTGAACCTCTATCAGTGCTGAGCGCTGCATGCTAATAGCTGGAGTTCCACCTCCCCTGTGCACTGTAGACATCCGATGGCTCAGTAGCACTCCCTGTTGGCTGACGTGGTGTTTGCTGTTTTATGACAGTACAGGAAACATCTTTGGAATTGCAATAAGTTTTATATTATATTGAATCATTTTGGAACAAGTATAAATTATGAGAGCTTTGAATGGTTGTGTTGTGTGTTTTTGCAGCAATAGGAGTGAAAGGAAAGGCAAAATAATGGACTCCTCATCAGTACTTTTTACATACCATGACAGTTTTAGCCCTTTGCAGACATGCTCACTTTATGCTAATCCCATGCAGTTTGGGGCAATATCATGCAGTTTTTTTGCATGCAGTATAAATGTGTTACTTTCACCTATTATATTTGAATATTTCTGCAGACTGGGGTCCCTAAACAGTCTTGGAATTGCATAAATTGGGTATGACTGGAGAGCTGAGACTCTTGAGGACTTTATAAACCCAATTTTATTCATGTGTGATGATGTTAGCTCCCATAGCAGCCAGTGGCACCCCCAGTAATTTTCCATAGGTATGGCCAGATGGGGCCACTGAAGACCCTAAAGCTATAGCCTACCAAATCAACTAAAAGCCACAACTGAATTTCAGGAATTTACTTATGTTTTTTATATAGGCTATTTGTAACTATGCCAATATGAAAGCTGAGCAATTGCATAGTGGTGTAGGGTGAATTAAGGGTGATTGGGACATGAGGTCAAATGGGACAGTATAACGATACAGGTTTTATTTTCTCACCTGATGAGCCCAAGCTGTGAAACCACATAATCAAAACAGCATGCCCTCATAGGTGTGATATCATGTAGAGTAGGTAGGGCAAGATTCAAACAGGAAGTTGACCCTGCAGTGCATGAAGTGAGGAAATTGACATGAGCTTTAGCTAGTTTTCAAGGTAATAAAATTGTCAGAGTGAATATATTGCACAAATTTTCTGATGGAAACATGATTATAATGTACTACTGCTCCAAAATCAATAAAAATGTGTTTATAGCATGTGTCTGTTTTTGGAATTAACCTGTTTAATCCCAAACACGCACATGCTAAAAAGCTTTGCTAATGAAGTAAATGATCAACCTTGCAATAGAGAGCCATTGTGTATGCTTTGTGTACTCTAGATCGGTGCTTCGCAACCTCTTCATGTGTGCAGAACCCTAATTAACCATGACAATATTTATGGACTGGCTAGATTTTGCTAGGCGTTTTTTTGCACGCCATTTTTGCTAGCTGAACTAGCCAGTTAGCAGGAACCACCAAGCCAAACCTAACACTTAGCCTTGACCTATTAACCCAGCCCTAACTGATCCTGATTAGCATTTTTTAAACATCAGTGAATGTATTCAATGAATTTTGGACTTCTAGGATTAAAAAAAAAAATCAATTAAATGTGTTCAGTGAGAGAATTATGGGAGGCTGTGGGAGGGAGGGGGTTGTTGTGAGAGCTGTGGACGCACTTCAGCAATAAAGTGTAACATAAATGTACATGGAGTCTTAAATCTTAATGATGAAAAAGAAAAGAAAAGTGTGCATGTGAAATTATATCAAAGCATGAAATAAATGTGCAGTAAATATGCTTACACTGGCCTAAATCAGTGATAAGATGAGCTGTCCCAATCACCCAAATGATACAAAAAAAAAGAGGTTTGAGGTCAGTTTACTTAAAAGGGTATGCCATGCCGCCGTGGAATATGATAAAACTTTCTTTTCTCTTCAAATGGATAGGTAATATTGTCAGTATTACAGAAATGTGCCATTTGTTGGGGTTTTTGTTTTTATATTTATGACAAGAAAGTTTTTTTTACTGAGAACAAGCCCTCTTGAGTATATAGGAGAGACTCGTGGGTACACATAGAGCCCAATATCATTCAGATATCTTAGGCTGAGAGTACAAGGAACCCCTTTGGAAATGGCCATGCCTGTTTTTCCCCTGCCAAAATTTAGCCTAATTTTTAAGTGTTATTTAGTCCCTTGCTGACAAGCTGGCACGGTTGGGTCTTCTTGTTTCATATGATACCAGTATCATCACTCTAGCTTAAAACTCAGCCGGCTACAGCCTTAAAGCAGGAATGTTGGCCAGGATTTCCTGTGGCCTGGAGGTTCTTACATTTATTTCACACTATAGTTTTTTTCCACAGAAGGCATTTTGCCATGTCACAGTAGGAAAAGCACACAAGTAAATAATAAACATCATGGTGACTGAATTTTATTTAGCTTCTTCAGTTACAGGGTCCTGATTTTGTCCATGCTGGCACTGTCATAGCTTACTGGAACACTTAGGTAGGATTGAGTCCAAATGTTTGCTATGAAAAAGGCACACAGAGATTTGAAGTCTTGGAGGAGATATATTTTTATAGTGTGTGCATAATAAGTTATGGTGCCTGTGTGCATGGCCATGACTAATCAATCCCAACTTAACTGGAAGTACATAACTGCAAAAAGTATTTTAATTAAAGACGGAAAGAAGAACACAACAACATCTTTTAATTGTCCAATTCTGACTACAAAGACACCTCGTTTGTTTTCCTCAATCTCTACTCAATATGCCACAGCTTTTTCATCCTTTAGCGAAACCCATCCCGGTAACTGGTAACAGAGGAGCACCTAAACTGGTAATAAGAGGAAGATAACTACACTGCGGCAGCATCTGCTACCACTCCAGTTGTGTCAATCTCAGCTGACTGCGGGGCATTGCCGGCGTCTGCAGCATCAGCAGCAGCCACATCAAAAGCCACCTCAGGGGCTGCAGGGGCAGTGTCAACAGGAACCACATCAACAGGAGGCACATCCACAACAGCTGCATCACCCGGTACAGCGTCTGCTGGCACGTCAACCACAGCTGGTTCCACATCTGCTGCGGGGTCTGCCGCGGGCTCTGCTGCGGGATCTGCTGGTGCTTCTTCGACCACAGCTGGTTCAGCCTCAGCTGCCTCGGCCTCCTCGGCCTCCTCTGCCTCATCAGAGTTTAAGGGGGCAGCAGGGGCACCGGGTGCTGCAGCTCTGGGGGCAGGGGCGCCATCCTGTGCCGAGAGATGGAACAAAAATGACTTAGATGTGGAGAAATTCCAGATACATTTGGTTAACCACAGAAACAAACAGGCTGGTTCAGAGAGAGCTACACAGCGTGTGAAAAAAACAGTTGTATTAAATCTTTTGTGTCTCTGGAGGAGCTTTGTTAAGCATATACAATTACTCAACTGACACCTGAGTAATCTAACCTTGTTTTTGGGGAGTACACATTTTAAACGAAAGCCCATGTAACAACTGGTGGAGTTTAGAAGATTTGGACATTTACCAGGCAGGAAGTGTCCAAAGAAAATTGCCACTGGCTGCATAATAGGTAATCTTTATCCATTCAACTACAGGTCAGAATGTCTCAGCTGCTTCAATCTTGTTTCAAATTTGATCTACCTAAGTAATACTTCTTAGGTTTACACCAAGGTCATTACAAAGAATATTTGAATGTGATCTGTTTCCCTAAGATAAAAAGCAATGCAAATACAAAAGATTCACCTCATGTCTTGATAATTTTGCTGGATTTTATTTTCAACTAATGGCCTGACTAATCTGTTTGCCCAGCAGAGCCATGGGCAGGTTATCAGACAATAAGTCCCCGGACACAGATTTATGATAGGCCTCACCACCTCTCTTCCATAGGAGGTGGTTAGCCTCTTTTTTTGTTTATGTTTTGTTTATCTTTGTAGTCGTTATTCATCTTTTTGTATTTTTATGTCTCTTTGTGGTAATTTTGTGTATTTTTGTCTTTGTTTTGAGTCTCTTTGCAGTTCCTCTCCTCTCTTTGTCGTCTGTATGTGTCTCTTTCTGTCTTCATTTTAAGTCCTTTCCTGGTTGGTACCTGTTAAGTATGCAGGTGAAAGCCAGAGAGGCCCCTGACACTTTCGGCCCTTGAGCCTGTGCCTGATAGGACCATTCACTAATCCAATGTCATATGGCTTACTGTAAATTTATTATGTCGATGTGTTCTGTATGACATCAATGGCACGTCTGTCCGTCCTGAAAGAGGGATCCCTCCTCAGTTGCTCTTCCTGAGATTTCTACCATTTTTTTCCCCGATAAAGGGGAAGTGTTTCCTTATCCGCCTTGAGGGTCCAAGGCCAGAGGGATGTCGTATGTTGTAAAACCCCCTGGGCTTTATTAATAAAACTGAATAGAACTGAATTTGACAGCTGTTTTTTTAAAAAGTAAAATAAAATAAATGAATTGTGTAAATTCCATTCAGCTGCTTCAGTTTCAGGGTCTTGGTATTGTTCATGATAATAGTTACACCTGTGTTTTTCTCAAAGGAATACCTTATCCACAAAGTGACCATTTATATATCAGTTAGTCATGTTGTTTTACCTTGAATTTGTGATGCTGACAGTGAACAAAGAATCCCAAAACTGCAAACAATTTCAATTAACTGAAGTCAATGGGGACAATGTTTGTGTTGCTTTCACTGTCAGTCCCATTCAGAGAGAGCTGAGGGCAAGGATTTGCAAAATATTTCGGAAGTACTGAGCCCGCAATTGGATAAATAAGACTTGGATTATACTGCACAAGCTGTGTGAGAGTTTGTAAAAGCCTGTTTTGATATAGTTGCTTAGTGCTTCTGATAAACATGGTCCCCAATGACTTAAAGTAATCAACAGTGTTGCTGTTTTTGGATGCTTGCTTTACATGTTTAATTGGTTTACATGAGGCATGTGAGAAAAAACAAATTTTCCTCATGAATTTTATATATCATGGCATTAATAATTGAATATATACATGGTCTTATTAAGGATAAAGTATTCCTTTAAATATGACAAGTCAAAATATCTGATGTGAAAAATATTTAGCTCAGCAAAATGATCAACACATGATGACTGGTGATTTTGTCTTGAATTTGTTTTGGAGGAAACACTGCAGGTCTTTTTCTTTTTTTAAGCAGAGCTCTCAAGTGAAATTCAGAGCAGGAGAAATGCACCACAAGTAGCCTTCACCTGTGCTTCTCAGCTCAGTGTAAATCCAGTGTGAGTGTTTTTGTTGGTCATGTGAGACCAATCATAAAACATTTTGTGCTTTTTTTGTTTGATCCCTTCAGCAGGAGTACCTGTAGTGACATTTATACCAACAAAGAGACATCTCCATTGGTCGTTTACCTCTGTAAACAACATTTCAGTGCAGCTCAGTACGAAGATGCCCGCTCACCTCCGTCTCCTCCTCTGATGCGTCTCCAACAGCCACAGGAGCTGCAGGGGGAACATCGGCTGGCGCGGCTGGTGCTGCATTCACCTGCATAAATAAAACATTTTCAGCTCAGGCGCATATTGCATTGTGACAGATCAGACGCTGCAGTCCTGTATGTGAGCTTACCACTTCTGCCGCAGCTGGATCAGCCTAAACCAATGAATAATTCATGAGTAAGTAAACTTAAGTAATTATGCCAGAGTTTTGTTTATATTAAGTTTTCGCAGAAATCTTAAAGTCGTGTTAGAGTCAAACAAGATAAACTTACAGGAGCAGCAGCAGCAGGCAGGAAGGGGTTTCCAAGAGCTCCCTGGAAAATAAAGATTAATGATTAATGGCAAACTATCTGAACTGATAATGATTTATATTTTTCCTTCTTCTTGTTCAGTGACACTAAAATGGACCCCCACTACCTGCTGCTGGTAAAGCCTGTACATCTCCATCCACCTCAGGGCCTCATTAGCATGTGCTGCAACCTGCTGAGGAAATACCAGACATCTCCAGACATGAGCCGCAATTAAGCCAATTATCCTCTTCTCCGTCAGACACTTATCGCACTACACATCTGATGACATGACTAAAACATGGTATGACATGCCACGGCAGACAGACGGACACAGAAACCTCACAGTTAAGCAAATGTCTTACTTTTTCCTCATAGCTTTCGCTCTCCGCAACCTGCAAACCAAACAAGAGGAATGAGGAAGCAACAATGACTTAGTGCTTTTTCCTCCTTAAAGCAAAGCAGTGTTTAAAATCTTTAAAAGGGATCAAGTTGGTAGACTTAATGACATGTTTACATCATGTTAAGGAAAGACTTACAGGAGCAGCCATGGTGGTGGTGAACAGGCACATTACGAACACCAGCAGCTTCATCGTGATTGTTCCTACTGAAAAACAGAAAAGAGACAATCTTGTTTCCTTTGTTTCCTTTTCCAGATAAAAGAAAGCATTTCTGAAATTAAAATTAAGTTAAGATAATTCGCTTTGTGTCCTTTTGCATCAGCAGGACCTTGTTCCTAACACAGTGTAATCCTGTTTCCATATAAAAAGCCCATCTCACCTTTATTTCCCGGTGCAGCGAGAGAAACTGAAGTTGTATCTCCTCAGGGATGGAAAGCAATCTACTTCATCTCTAACATGGATGCCATTTATACACGGGAACATCCTGTGACAGCCAATCATATCCAGTGAAACACGCAGAGCTATGTGTTTGAAGAAATCTTCTAACACTTTGAAAAAAAGAAAAAAGAGGCATGTAGGGTTAAGGCCCCTCTTATACTTAATTACACGCTGTGTGCAAGTATTCTTAGCACACATGCCCTTCTCTTTATTGCCCTAAAAACCAAACAAAAAAAAAAGACAAGACAGCATGAAGCTGACATAAGCATGTAATGATAATGACTGGGAGACACCACTTAGTTTGTAGGCTATTTAAAAATACTATGAAGATGTGAGGGGGAAACATGGAATATATAAAAGAATTAGGCAAGTGCTTGTTGATTTAGGCAGTTCAGTGCTGCTAGGCATAATGTGTGAAGCTCTAAATATTAAAGTAAAATGATAGTGACAAAGAGATACACTATCTAAACTCTACTACACACACTAGTAGACACTTGAGCAGTGGTGGAAAGTACACATTTTCCTTTTCCTTTGTTTAATTATTCTCATTTTATGATAGTTTATATTTGTACTTAACTGCATTTCAGGTGAAATACTCTACTACAGATACAAGTTTTACAATAAAAACATTTCATAAGCTTATCAAATACAATGTGATGTCTCAAACGGTGGTTTCTAAACTTTTTTGCTTGTGACACTTTGAAAAAGAGCAGAGTGTAGATAGTGGCTGTGTCCGAAATCATTCACTAATTCACTACTCCCTACTCACTATGTAGGGAGTTCAATGTAGAGCACTATGTTGTGAGCTCACCTGCAACGTGAAAAAACACTTTCGGACACTACTCAGGTTATTTACACAATTAAATATTAGTAACACAAATAAAACATGTCGTATCAATGTCGGCTGGTGAAGCATCTATAACAAATACTGACATGCCTATTTGTTGTTGTTTTTTTTAATATTTTTTGGGGCTTTTTAGCCTTTAATGTATAGGACAGACAAGCATGAAGGGGGAGAGAGATAGAGGGAGTGACATGCAGCAAAGGGCCACAGGCTGGAGTTGAACCCGGGCCGCTGCGGCAAGAGCCTTGTACATGGGGCACCTGCTTTACCACTAAGCCACCAACGCCCCAGACATGCCTATTTGTGATAAAAACATGAAACTATACTGAGTGTATTTTCCCCAAATTGATAAATCGAATGACAAAGTACTTTGTGCGCTGCTCTGCTCACATTAAACATATTAATAATGTTACGCTGGCAGAAGGTAAGAGGAGAAGAGGTAAGAGCAGCGTATCCTACTAATGTAAGTGATTTTCTGTTTAATCTTTGTTGTGTTGAAGTTTGTTTTACCGGTCAGTCATGTAATAACTTACCAATGTAATGTGTGACATAATGCAGCATGACATTACGGCACAAATTAGAGCTGTTAGCGACCCAGCTCGCTAACATTAGCTAGCGTTTTTAGTCCTACTCTGAACAGTAACTGGGTGGCAGGGGCGGACTGGGACTAGAAAACAGCCTTGGACTTTGACTTGGCCCAGCCCACAACAACTGGTGCGTGGAAAGTCATCAGCTCCAGACACGGGTGTCAAAATCCTTAAATCTTAACACATGATGGTGAACATTTCTGTTAACTTTTGACATTTAGAGGCTTCACTCTCTAATTGCCTTTGTTTTTTTCCCTCACCTTCTCAGCCCCACCCTTTTCTTTCCGTTTTTTTTTTTGATTAATACCAGTAACCATATTGTTCTCTTTCACGCTGTCTCTCCCATCTGCACCTGCTGCACACGGCTGCTCGATTCGTATGCGCTTCCTTCTTCTTCAGTTTGATTGCTGGCCAGCCGGCTCATCTATGGGCCGGCTGGCATCCAATTTAAAGGCTGGCACCTAGCGGACTGGATGTGGAACAGTAGATTATCAGGGAGAAAAAGGAAAAAAACAAACAAACAAACAAAAAAACGGTGATGACTGCGTGGCAGCCACCGGCCATCCTTGAATACCAGCCGTTCTGTGATTCTCCAAAATCTCCAGATGGCCAGTCCGCCCCTGCTGGGCGGCATTGTCGCCTCACAGCAAGAGGGTTCTGGTTCCTGGTTCGAACCCAGAGTGGGGGAGCCCCTCTGTACGGAGACTGCATGTTCTCCCTGTGTCAGCGTGGGTTTTCTCTGGGTACTCCCGCTTCCTCCCACAGTCAAAAGACATGCAGGTTGGGGCGTCGGTGGCTTAGTGGTACAGCAGGCGCCCCATGTACAAGGCTGTTGCCGCAGCGGCCCGGGTTCGACTCCAGCCTGTGGCCCTTTGCTGCATGTCGATCCCTCCCCCCCCTTCACGCTCATCTGTCCTATCAATTAAAGGTTTAAAAATGCCCAAAAAAATATCTTTAAAAGACATGCAGGTTAATTGGTGACTCTAAATTGTCCATAGGTGTGAATGTGAGTGTGAATGGTTGTCTGTCTCTACGTGTCAGCCCTGTGATAGTCCAGGGTGTACCCCGCCTCTCGCCCAGTGTCAGCTGGGATAAGCTCCAGCCCCCCTGCAACCCCTAGCAGGGTAAGCGTTATGGAAAATGAATTTTTACCTCTTTGTGAACTGACGACTACACATTAAATGGTCAGTTTAGTACCTGACAAAGGAAAACTAGTAAAACAAACTTCAACGTGTCATTATAAGTTAAACATGTACAGCAGGTTGTAATCGAGTTGCTCTCTCTCCCCTTGTCGGTCTCAGTGTCAGTCCAATATAGTCCGTCCATTCCTTTGGCGTAATGCATGATGGGATATACTGCTTGGTGAGTGACCATCTGTTGTACGCTACTTTTCATGGTGCATTGTCGGATACTTTGAGTTCACTATATAGGGTATATAGACGCAGCCAGTGTTTCTTGTCACACGTCAGATGTCTGAGTTGTCGGCAGTTCCACCAGAGAGACATTTCCCCTCTAAATGTCTCACACAGTTTCATTTATCTTATTGTGTGAGGCCTACAGATGTATAGTTATCTATCATTCCACAAAATAAGATTAAAGAAAAGACTGAAAAATAAATACAGATTTGAATAGCAGAAAAAATGTCTTTGTTTTTTTCTTCTTCTTTCATAGACCATAAATCATCTCATCGCCCACTCCCCCCCAATTCATCTTGTGACACTATGAGTTGTCTTGTGTTTTTATTTTGGCTATGTGCTGTTTTTATTGTCCTTGTATGTATTAATTATGTCCGTGGCGTACCACTGTAGTGTCACGTTTGACAATGCATTGCTTCAAGTTAATTGCAGATGGGTGCAGCGCTACTGGCAAAGCAAAATTCCCCTCCAGGGACAATAAAGTATGTCTTATCTTTATCTTATCTTCAAGAGGAGCTTCTGAACTACACTATAGTGTGTTATAGTGTTACCAATTTCTCTGCAGCATGAGTACTTTTTCTTTTGATACTTTAAAGTATATTTTGTTGATAATCTCTCTGTACTTAGTTAGATTATGAATACAGGACGTGTACTCATTATGTAGCACTTTTATATGTGTTGTACTCGGGCCTTGTTTTGCTGTGGTGTCTCCAACACGACCTTTTAACACAAGGTTTCAAGACATCTTCATTTAACACTCAAATTTACAGTGGGTGTGTGCCAGTGGGAAGCACTTTGGTGGTGTCTGAGTTTCCACTGATCCCTGTGTTTGTGTTAGGTGGTGTGGTCTTATATCACAGTGATTTTGAACATTGCAGGTTTCTCGTGTTTATTCTTTGCGGTTGCGAGTCAGATAATGAAGGACTTAGCCTGTAATCTGCGAAACTGTATTCTAGACATTCTTGCCTCCAAGTTGCTGAGCTAATGAGTTTCACTACACACCGGATAAAAATCTCATCATTAGTTCTTAGGAACTTTTACTGTTGTTATTTGGCACTCAGCACAATTGCTCCTTTGTTTGCTACCTTGACAAACAGGGCAGTGAGAGGGGTAATGATAAACTGACTACTTTCTGTACCAACGGGAGTGCCTGACTTTTGCCAGCTTAAATAAATTTTGCTTTGCCTCAGCAAAGAATCCGCAGCACACTTAGGCTTTCAGATACAATTTTCCAGCTGTTTTTATTCCTAGGGTGTCATAAACCGGCACTTTGTCACACTCTTTGTGAGTGATATCGACGCCAATGGCACCCTTTAGCATATTTATGAGACTGCTTTCAACTAACTTCATTGTAAACCCATCCATGGCAATACTTGAAGCAGAGAGCAACTGATGCAGCATAAAGAACGAGAAAGTCTGCAACGGGCAGGAGGGAAGGGAGGTGGATGGGTGAAACAAAAGCTGACTTTATTATCCATGTATTAATGAAGGACTTTTAACTACAGTCAGGGGGCCTCAGATGCATTTTTGGATTACCTGCCTGTACTACGGACTTTTACACTGAGTGAGCAGGCCAGTCGTTTTTTATCTTTATGTAAATATTTGCCCCATCCTCGAGGAGCACTTGATTTTTTTTACAACTAACTACACAGAGCCTTAACCCGGTGCAGCACTCCCTATTTTCTCCTCAAAACCAGGCTTTGAAACAGCAGACCACAGTGCGTGTAACATGTTAAACCAAAAGTCAGTGTTGTTCTAACGTTGTGAAATTCATGTACGGTTGTTTTGCACTAAAATCACTCACATGACTTATTTATGTCACACCATATTATCCTTCTGAAACAAACTAATTTTAACCCCAAACATGATCCTTTTTCTAAACCTAACTGCGACAGTTTCACAACATTTTCCACATGCTACAATGTGTCTCAGTTGTGCGCTGTGTGTCACTTTGAGACGCAGATGGGGGTGACAAAGCATCTGTATTTGTCAACCTGGGAATAACATCGGGTTGTAGCCATATTGATATAAGTCTTGCAATATTTTCATCTCATACTGATACTAAATCACTAATTGGGTGAATAAAACTTAAAGGTGTAATCATGCAAAGGCTGACTTGCCTAGACGTGGCAGGGACTTCACCAACATTGCATTCTGGTGAGGCAAGACGGCAGTGA